TAAATCATAACTTTGTTTAGGTATACCCACATATTATTGAGTAATACAATGATTCTCATTACTTTTCAGCCATACCACGTATACTCATTTGCAACTGGATCTTGTGTTAATCCATAAACATGAATTATATCTCCTTTATCATGAAACTTTATATAATTTTTGAACTAAAATGACAAATAAAATATTTAATTAAAGCAATACTAATATTAAAAAAATCTGGAAATAAAAATAAAATAATTTACCTCATTAAGAAATTCATCAGAAATATTCCGTGAATCATGTAATTTTTTAATACCACAGTCTTATCTTTGATGGTTCTGGTATAGTTTCCATTTTCATAACTTATATGTTTATAACCATTTAACCAAGTAGCTTTGTATATAGTTGCAAACCCACCTTCATTAATCTTTTCAATATTTGCTAAATTATTATGAAGATGATTATAATGACCAGTTGTTTCAAGTTGTCTACTTTTAATCAACTTGTCTAATGTTTCATTGCCACTAGTCCATCCTTCAGTTAATAGCTTTGGATTACATGATTGACACCATGCCTTATTAGTATTGTATCTATTACAGGTTGGACATTTCCCACACTCTTCATTTCTAATATATGGGTCTTCATAATCTTGAAGACTTCCATCTTTCATGTATTCCATTATAAAGATATATTTTTTTGTAGCTGGATCTTGTGTTAATCCATAAATTTCATTTATAAATGATTCACCATAAAATGTTACATAATTTCTGAACTATATAAAAAAATATATTGATTTCATAATAATATTTAAAAAATCCAAAAATAAACAGAAAAATAAAATAATTTACCTCATTAAGAAATTCATCAGAAATATTCTGTGAATCGTGTAGTTTTTTTAATGCCACAGGCATATCCTTGAAAGTTCTGGTATATTTTCCATTTTCATAACTTATATGTTTATAACCATTTAACCAAGTAGCTTTGAATATAGTTGCAAACCCACCTTCACCTATCTTTTGAACATTTGTTAAATAATTATAAGGAATCCATTGAAGATAATAATATTTATTATTATAACATTTTGCTTTAAGTTGTGTACTTTTAATCAACTCATCTAATGCTTCATTGCCACTCGACCATCCTTCAGTTAATAGCTTTGGATCACATGATTGACACCATGCCTTATTAGTGTTATATCTATTGCAAGTTGGACATTCCCCAAAATATTTTATTACCAGAATATTCATCATTTTTGTTAATAGAAGTGTCGTCATGATGTTTATTTTCATCCAAAGTATTTTCCATCTTTAAAATTTATTTGTGATTTTTTATTATTTGTGTAATAGACCAAAAAAAACTTTTTCTAAAGGAGTTATTTTTTAGCCCAAAAACAATATATTTAATAAGTTCTCACCCAACCAACACCTATATTTCTATTGAGTGAAAATGATTCACATACGTGAAATTCAAATTAGCCAATCAAATTTCATATTCAGATTTCAAATTTCAGTTTCACATGCAACATTTCCTTTAAAAAAATTTTTTTTTATGATTTGTGTATATACCTGAATTACAACAATTCAGCATTACATAAAAAAAATCCTAAAATCGTTAAATTCATAATATTAAAATTTTTATTGTCCGTAAAAATAAATTCCAAGTCATGTGCCCACTAATTTATCATTGGTCGAAATTATGCATGAGAAACAATTAATCTTAAAAAATGGCAACGTACGAAAAAATTGAAAAACAATTAAACATTGCAGTTAAAAACCATGAAAATGCAGAGAATAAGTTGAAGGAATTTGAAGAAGGGGAGGACGATGGAATGTTGTTGAAGAAGAGGAAAGAGCTTGATGAAGAAGACAAGAAGGAGAAGGTGAGATTGGAGGAGGAAGAGAAGGAGCCGAAGAAGAACGTGAACAATAGGTTGAAACAGGTGGAGAAGTTGCAAGATGCACTTGTAGATTTGAATAAAGAAGAAAATGGTAATGAACAAATTGTGTAAAAAAATATACAAAAAATTATTTTCCATTCATTCTGTTTCGTTTATTTATTTGGCATACTGTTAATGGCATTGACTAACTTGTGTTTTTTTTCAATACTTCAATTTTAATCACTTTTTATCATCTATCAATTATTATTTAGCCATAGAAAATAAACATAAACGTAAAGCCAGTATTGAGGACACAGAAGTTTATATAAAGGATCTCATGAAGAAAATAAGACTATCAGATTCTCCAAGTTCAATTGCAAAGCCAAAGAATTGAATAAAAATACAAACCAACTCAAATTTATTTTAATCATTGTCCAGCAGAAGCTTCTGTAAATCCTGTTACTCTTTAACATTCCATCTTTGGAACCTTTTTTGAAGATTGTAAAAATATAGAGCCAAACAACGTTGATTATGCCTTTGTTTTAGATGTAGTTTATTCTATGCCAAATGTGTTTGATGATGAAAAAGCAAGAAAGGAGGAATTTAGGAGATTATTTAGAGAACATTACAAGATCACTTTTAATGACTATGCAGGTGAGAGGATGACAACCGATGGCACTTCCTTTAGTAAAGGAGGCATGTATATGATAAGTAATCTAGAAGTGAAACCAGAATCAGGTGTTGGAGGCTGCTGCCCCTATAATCAAGGCAATGCATACTATGCAAAGTATATTGCAAATCTTCCAATACAAGATATTATCAAAACTCAATTACCATGTTTTCTATTATACCTCGCAGGTTAAATTTGAATTTTCAACATATATATTATTTCTTGTTTCATATTTTTGGATTATTCTGAATCTTTTTCTTTTTGTAGGACCATATATTGGCATTGCTGGTGTAATTTTTGGAGAAAAATTTTTATGTGACCCTCTAACACTGATTTTACCATTGTTTCATCTCCCACAATACTGACACTTTATGGAATGCCTAGCTTGAACATTTTGTGCTCTCAAAAAGGCATTGGATGCATTAGACATTTACTATCAAAATCTTCCTTGGATTGATTCTTGGCAAATTAAATTTCCATACATCACTTCACTCAAGGTTTCAGGTGGAGCAGAAATTCAATTTAAATATCTCAAACAACTTTATGAAAGCAAATTATTGTTTCTTGTTGAACAATATAATGATAATGCTGATTGCACCCTCTTCCCACAAAGACTACTTGTGAAATTTGTACAACAATATGGAATAGAGGCACATAAAACCTGTGCTGATTTGGGCATTGCACCTAAGGTTGCTTGCCAAAACTCCTCCAGAAATCAATCAGCAGGGTTTTGGCAGGTTACACATTAATTGTTTATTAGAGTTTCAGCAGAGTTTTACATTTTGAGGTTTCACCATTTTGGCATAGTTTCAACAGGATTTTTGATAAGATTTAATATAGTTTTGCCATGGTTTCAGCAATTACTAAGGAGGTTTCGCCCACAACCTTAATTGCACCTAAACTTTTTGGATATGAACAAGTTCCAGGAGGATGGGAAATTGGTTATGGTGGAATTTTTGGAAGATGATTATGAACTTTTAACTTTACATGAAACTACTGAAATTAAAAAAGCTGTTGAGTCATCAGGAAAATGGGTACAAATATTATGCGTATATAATGCACAATTGCAGGGATTAAGCATATAATATGCATACAAATCGCGTATTTTTTAATGTATGCAAATTGTACATATATTATATGCTTAATCCCTGCAATTGCATATTATATACGCATAATATTTGTACCCATTTTCCTGATGCCTTAAAAAAGCAGTTATAAAGATGCATAATGCAGAATTTGTACATGGTGATTTAAGATGTGAAAATATCCTCTGTAAGAAGAAACAAAAAATTGGTGATAATAATGATCAAGTAGATATTGTAATTATAGATTTTGATTGGGCTGGTAGACTTGGACAAAAAACAACCAACATATCTTTCATTCCTTAATCCTGAAATTATGAGACACAATGATGCTTGTGCTGGGTACCAGACTCTACAGGAACATGACAGTTATATGGTGAACCTTTTGATGTAAAAGACAAAATTTTTTTATTTCTACATGAATAATTACATTGTTATTTCATTGTATGTATTCCTTTTTTTTTCATGAATTTATTTGTTAATTTTAATAAAAAATACCCAGTTGATTTTGCTTAAAGAATTTTGTAAAAATATTTGTTTAAAACAATTATAAAAAACCTACAAAGTGAACATAAAATTATATATAGTTATATGAAAGTAATAATGAAATAATAAATACAATGGTTCTAATGAATATCAAAAAGCAATTGATTTTTTAGAAAAAGGTTGTGATTGTGATTGCTCTTCAAAAACAATTTACAGAATTAAGGGAATTCTTTCAAGCACTTTCCAAATCTGAACAAGACATATTTTTAATTGCACAGATTAGAGCGATGGATGGAAAGACAATAAGCACTAGTAGATGCCTTAAAAGAAAACTAGATCTAATAAAAGAACATTCTATCACTGGAATCACAATACACCCCTTTGTCAAGAAACTTATCTCAATATGTTGGGAATTCATATGACTTATTTTGAAAACATTAGAAATCATCTAATAAAAAATTGTCTCTTACCAAGAATTCATGGTAACATTAAAAGGATGCCTCAATGAAAAACCAAGATGGTAATTGATAAAAATGTTGCAGAAATAGTAAAAGGATTTTTAGAAAATTATGCAGAAGTCCATGGATTACCAAGTCCAGGAAGAAGTATAATAGAATAACTCAATCAATTGTATTCTTACCAGCTGAAATGAGTTATAAATCAGTCCACAGAGATTTTTTAGCTGGTCTAGAAGAAGATAGTAACTTGAAATCCTTAAAATATGATGCATTCAGAAAATTATGACATCAATTGACACCAGAGATTCAAATTATGAGCCCAGGACTGGTTTACATTATAATGCTCGCCAGGAAGAAGAAGCCAAAGAATTACTTAAAATATTTAAAGAACATCTGTCTAAAGACAAGTAGAAAGAAATTATTATAATAAAAACACAAAATTAGCAGAAAATCGATCAATCAAAATTATTCAAAGGGTAAAACACAGTATTGCAGTATTGATGCTACTGCACATTACATTCCGCATATTTAATTAATTTGTAACATGTTAACATTAGACCTTTATTTAGTAGTAATTAACAAAGATTGTCCCAGATTGGGCTATATATCCCAGACTGGGAGGAATATCCCAAACTGGGCTAAATATCCCAAATTGAAATACATATAATTTGACATGTATATAAGGAATGAGGATTCACTGTAGTCGAAGAATAACTTTGTAACAAATTAACTTAATAATTAGTTTCAACTAAATACAAAATTAAATAAATCATTTTTATCAAAACAAAACTATCCACTAATAAATCTAATTCATTAGTATTAGCCTATTCATTCTGATCCACATAAACTAACAAAAATTGTTATAATCAATTAAAACATACTCTCCCAAAATTAATTGTGACACTTGTGATAATGCTGGAGGACAAAACAAAAATGATAACACTATTTGGTTTTATTTATATTTAGTAATTTGTGGTTATTATGAAAGTATTGAATTGAATTTCATGATTCCTGGACATACTAAATTTAAATGTGATGGTAATTTTGGGATGATTAAAAAACTCTATAGAAGAACAAGAGTAGATTGTCTTGATCATGTGGTTGAGGTAATAAAAAAGTCTAGTCCAGCAGGATTGAATAAGGCTCAATGTTATGAAGGTGGAAAAGGTTTTCAATATTTAGATCTTAAAGCAATTTTGGGAATTTATTTTAAGAAACTAAATGGTTTACAAAAAGTACCAACATTTTCTTTTCGAAGCATCTAACCTTGGTGTAGTCAAAACTCAGGAAGTTGCTAATGGAACTTTTGCTAAATTCAATTTATTAAAAACTAGGAAAACAGATATTTTTGAAGAAATTAAAGCTTTATCTATTTTAGTATTGACACCACCTCATTGGATTACAAAAGGCAAGAATACCTTTATCATAATATTCGTCTGTTTGTGAAAGATGAATACAAAGACATTACTTGTCCAAGACTATTCTATACTGGCAACAAATAAAATATTTAGAACAAAAACACCTCCATTACTTTATCACACTTGTTAATTTGTCCTTTATTGTCATTAAGTTTAATAAGTTGATTTTTTTGACAAATATTGTTAGTTTTAAAGTAAAAAAGTACTAAAATAATTTATATACTTAATATGCACTCAAAAAGGATATAAGTATATTAAAAGAATAATGACAACCCAAGAAATAATTTTAACTGAAAAGGAAATAAGAGAACTAATTGGTAGTTTAAACTGAAATCCAGATGAAACAGAGATAAGAACAGTTATAGATTATTTTTGACTTCGCCCTTATGCATTAAAAACACTTAGAAGAAAAAGAATTTAGAAAAACTTTTGTTCGCCTTATTTACATGCATAAAAATGCAATGAATTGATGAGTAAAAGCTGATAAAGAAGTTAAAATTCTACAGCCACTAACATCTAGTTTAGAGAAAGAGAGGAATGAATTGCTTGAAAAAATTAAGGAATTAGAAGCAAGAGTAGAAGAAAAAGATAACATAATAGAGAATTTAGAAGAAAGAGTAGACATGGAAGTTGAAATGAACTTGAAAGCACTAGACAAGTCCAAAGAATATCATGATAGAAATCTTTTCTTATTAGGAATGTCAAAGGACACTATTATAACCAATTTGAAATTAAAAATTTAAGAGTTAGAGAAGAACCAAAAAGTAGAGAGTAAAACAATTATGAAAATTAGAAAACAAAGCCAAACAAAAGTTAAGGAAAGAGTTAAAAAACTTAAAGAAAAAGTTAATACAATCAAAGAAAGTGTTAAAGAAAAGTTCAACACTTATATTTACAAAACAATAAATAACTATGAAATTAGAATACAGAATTTTAAAAATAGCAAAGGATAGCATAGAGAGTTGCAATTATTGCCCATTATATGTTCATTATGGAGAAGACATTACTTTCTCTCCTGCTACCCATGAAATAATGGCATATGATAACAATGAAGATTGTGCTGATATTGCTTCCATCTGCGATAATTGTAAAAAAGATTTTGAAAACAATAATCTTTCTTATTGTGAACTTTGTGGCAGATTACAAAGAAATAGGAGAGGTTGTTATTGTAATCTATTGAAAGATGGAAAATTTAGAACACTTTCTGCAGAGGAGGGAACTTCCCAAACTATCAAAACTCGTTTAGCAAGGGAAACCAAAGAACTTGAAAGGAAATTGAAAACTGCCAAGGAGGAGTTGAATGTTGAAAGAGAAGAAGTAGCCAAGTTTCAGGAAAAATCCGAAGAGTGAAGTAAAAAGCAAGAACAGGAATTATTGAATAAGACAAGAGTTTAGAAGAAAAAATTAAGCAACTAGAAGAGGAAAACAGGAAATTAAAAGATCAACAGAATGGTCAATTAACTGCTCAAATTGAAGTCAAAGAGAC